CCATTAGGTTCTACGAGGCGAGAGTGGATGACATCACATCCGACGGTCAGTGCACTGTTGTCTTCAAACATCGCAAAGTGTCTGAAGTCTGTTTGGTTTCATTACTCAAACCCATCGGTAGAAAGCGAAGCAAAATGTCGACAAATACTTCCAATTCTTATGATAATAGGGTTAAACGACAGGCAGTGACCGATCAGAAGGAGTATCTCAAGAAAAAGCAACAGAAGAAGAAGGAGAGACTCAAAGACCTGGAAGAGGAGCGCGAAAAGGACAAAGTGAAGTGGCAGTCATTCAACACTAAAGTTGGTTACCATTTAATTAGCGCTCATTTTATTTAACGATTAAATGTTTGCTATTATTACAAATGATTACAATTGTGTTGAATAGGCGTATAATAAGAACCTGAAGGGCGCCACCAAAAAGAGTATCTTCGCGTCGCCTGAATCCGTGTCCGGAAGAGTAGGCGTCGGAACTTGTGGTCAGTAATTAATTTTCTCGTTTATAATTCATTTAATAAAACAAATAGAGTTTTAATTAATTAATGTGCGAATAGCTCTCAAAGTAATAACTGAAACCAAAAGTTGTTTTAATGATATGAATAATTAATTGCAATGTTTTTTGGACTTAATTATTTGATGTCTTTTTATATTTAATTATACGATTGAAGCTTAAACTGGAGTAAAGATATTAGCGTTTAATTATAGACTATATCTAGATTTACCAGGCACAAAAAATGCTATCATAAATTAGACGTGATTATTGAATCATCAAGTTAATTTTTAAACTATTGTTCACTATAAACGTTACAATGCTTTTAGTCATTTGGTGCCCCATTTTTAATAATAAATAGTAAACATTAATATTTGTAATGTTCAAAGTTTGAATTTCAAACCCCATTCACAATGATTGTTTACTTTATATATGAATAATATAGTAATAGTACATAAATGACCTTTTCTATTATAAATGCTATGTGTACGCTGGTGCACTTTTTGGAATTACTAGGACTATATTCTCAAGACTTCAGTCTTAACTTTTGCACAAATTATAGTTTTAATGATTGATTGAGACATAATATGTTATATTATATTTAAATGAATGCATGTATTGATCGTCTAATTTGATGGCATCGGTAGGTGTGGGCGGAAAACCGATGACTGAATTCACTCATCAGGAAAAGTGGAAGAAGGAAAAGGCCGGCTCTTCAGGTATGGTCTCTGGCGCTCACTCACGGCTCGCACACAATCATAGATACAAATAAATGGATAAATATTTTGTTTTTTGTAAATTATATGTTTATTTAGCTCTGATTTATAATTATTTTTTTCTCATTAAGAAAATAATATTTTGACATTTCATTCAATTTATAATACATAACTATTGACATAAAAATCTTTAAATCGATTGATGTTTTCATGAATAAAAATAAACAAATGTTTGATTTAATGATAAATACCTATAAAATAGATTTAACTTTGAATTTTCAATAAGTTTTTTATTGCTTCAAAGCTAACAAAATATTATTTCAAAGCTTTCTTTTTGTTGATATTTATATAAGAGTTAACGCAAAGCATATGAGAGAAGCATAGCATTGATTGATCCGATATATGAAAGGCATTGTCACGAACCCGAAGATTGAAAGTAATCAAAATGTATGTCTAATACAGTGAATGATTGTTTAAATCTTTAATAAATTAAAGCATATATTTAATGAATTGCTAACAATTACACCGTTTTCTGGTGCTCTCGCCGTGACTGCTATAGTCGAGAGTCAGGATATCATTGGTAGCCGACTCTTCCAGCGCTAATGACTTCTGTCTCTGTAGTATCTGTTGACGAGAAATAGACAATAATCGGTGAGACGTTTAATCAAATTAAGATATGGAAACATATTTTGTATTTTTCTGTACAAACCTTTGCCACTAAATATTTAGCGGATTCGTCGACATTGACGTTGTCTTTGGCGGACGTGTAATACCAGCCGCAGAAGCCGTTCTCATCGCAAAACTTGTCGAGAGTGTCTGAGCTCGAGGCGGCGCCTTCCTTAGGCATATCGCACTGCAATTGTCACGTATTTGTCAATTGATGTGTGTTTTTGTACAAAACTATTGCACACAAAAATGCTTACCTTATTAGCTAACAAAAGACAGGGAACGGGCGAACCGTCGGGTAAACACACTTTAGTGTCCAAATCGTATTTCCATTTGAGAAGCGCCTCATAAGTTGGCGGACGGTTGACGTCGAAGACGAGGAAAGCGCCGACCGCTTCCTTATAATACACTCGCGTCATATTCCCGAACCTCTCCTGACTATTAGATATGGTTTGAAAATATTATTATTATTTTGTATTTTCTATATTAATATAGTGATAATGTTTTGACATTGGATTACATGCCCCGCAATATCCCATAACTGGAGCCGAATCAGTGTATTTTCATCCCAATTGATTATTTTGAGCGCAAAGTCTACACCAATCTGTAAATTAAAGTCAAGTTTAGAAATTCAGTTCTTGCCTTCAGATTAAACTATAAGAGCTCTGCGAGTGTTTAACACAACCACTATATTGTATATATAGTGTACTGAAATTTTGCTGGCATTTCGTATTGATCTGTCAAAAGGCAATGTATTTGATAGTAAATGTAGTTTTAGTTATCTATTAGTTATCTATTTATTATTTTTTTGCTTCTCTAATCAAATGGTTTACTTTAATCACAAAATAAATGTTATAATTTGTAAATTAGTTTCTTAACCGTTAAACCCGTGGTATATATCATATAAATATTTATAATTAGTGTATATGTTTGATACGACAGTCGCGTCGACAGTATTTCTCTCAATCAATAATCTTATATTAGTATGACTTTCACGTGAAGACTAAGAAGAATGAGATTAATCGCAAAATATGTCATAATTATGATGAAAGCATTAGCAATATCCCATAACTGGAGCCGAATCAGTGTATTTTCATCCCAATTGATTATTTTGAGCGCAAAGTCTACACCAATCTGTAAATTAAAGTCAAGTTTAGAAATTCAGTTCTTGCCTTCAGATTAAATTATAAGAGCTCTGCGAGTGTTTAGCACAACCACTATATTGTATATACAGTATAGTGTACTGGAATTTTGCTGGCATTTCGTATTGATCTGTCAAAAGGCAATGTATTTGATAGTAAATGTAGTTTTAGTTATCTATTAGTTATCTATTCATTATTTTTTGTTTCAATTAAACATTTGCTTCTCTAATCAAATGGTTTACTTTAATCACAAAATAAATGTTATAATTTGTAAATTAGTTTCTTAACCGTAAAACCCGTGGTATATATCATATAAATATTTATAATTAGTGTATATATTTGATACGACAGTCGCGTCGACAGTATTTCTCTCAATCAATAATCTTATATTAGTATGACTTTCACGTGAAGACTAAGAAGAATGAGATTAATCGCAAAATATGTCATAATTATGATGAAAGCATTTCGTTTCATCCAATCATTTATTTTATTTGATCTAATTTTTGCTTATAATAAATGTTCAAAATTTAATTTAATATTTTTTTCAGAAGGAATTGATTTAATAAAGAAATCTAAAATCTTAAGCAAAAATAAATCAGTTTTTCAGTATATATAATACAAAATAATATGATTTATTGAGAATTTTGAAGAAGTTTTTAAAAAAGGTGTGAATATTATGCTATGATATTGATTGGCATAAATCATATGATATATAATGTTATTGTGAATTGGATTGGAGTCAGAATTCATCACTAAATAAACAACTTTTAGATAAATAGTGATGTATTCATACGACTCTCAGCCATCGATTACATGCGAAATAAAGTCAGTAAAGCGTTGAATAAATTAAGGCGTGGAATGGCTGGGCATCTGATCCGTGATATCAAGACTTTGACTGATATATAGAATATATATATTCTCGCATCACTTTAGAGCTGAGAAAATATTTTACAACACAACAAAAAACCTTATCTTTTATATGCATATCATTATAAATGAGTGATTCAGTGATTTGAGAGTCAAAATATATGACATAAAGTGACTGTTACTCACTCCTTAACTAACCGTTTGTAATTTTTGTTTGAATTAATCTCTAAACCCCGTGCAGAAGTAATGGTATGCGAGTATAGCTATCACCCAAAAACCTTTATTTGTTTGAGAAATATTTAGCGAGAAATATAGTAGTTGTTCACCAAAAAAAAATAGAGTAAATTATATTAAAAATTTTTCTTATAAAACGAGATATAGTTTTGTAGTAAACACTCTCGAAGATAACGGTTTAACTGATATAAACAGACTTCTGAATAGAGTATTCATTCTCTTTGAGCCAATTTATGAAATGGTGTTTTAAGTTTGTCACTTACGGTCGCCCTATAGTGTTGTGAGAATAACATGTGAACATATCTCTTAATGAAGGACGTCTTGCCGGTACCCAAATCGCCGATCACCAGAATTTTGAACAGATGTTCCCTCACCTCCTTATAGTAGCCTTTATCGCCGTTTTCTGCCGAGTGGTCGCTATTCTGTAAATTAATTGCACTCTTGTATCAAATATTCAATTATTTTCAAAAGCATTAGCAAATGGTGTCAATCATTGATGCCTTACTATAACATCTCGGCTGAAAAATTTTCTGTTTGGAGACATTATATCCGAGTTTTTGGTATTATATAGAAACACACACTTAATTATAAATTAGCTCTAATTAAAAACCATTAGTTTTATAATAATTTAAATAATTGTTTTAAAAAGTATTTAAAAAATAACAGAATAAAGGTTTGTGTTGTGTATGAATAGTACTTAACGAATGAAAAACATTATAATTAATAAACAGAATATCTGTTGGTTTAAAGACTCTGGCGTTGAGAGAAAGAAAAGTTTTTCATAAACGAAACGCTTCTCTTCTATTATCATATCAGTTGAGGAGATGTTGAACCTAAACATAGACCCCAACACTGGCGACACATTCCCTTCAATTCATATCATAAATATATGTAATTTGTCTTCATTTCAATACATTTTAATAAATATTTTTGATCGAAAAAATATGTATTTAAATGAATATAAAAATATTTATTTTTGCATGAAATCAATTAATATTTACTGATAAA